TAAAACACATACACCTGTCCTTTGCCGCCAAAAAGAATTCCTATACAATTTACACATCCTTCAGTAGGTCTGTGACATTACCTGATTGGCTAAAAGACATGCCAATCAGTGATTATTTTACCGGCCTACGTTGATCTGACTCATTTTATAAGCTGTACTATTTCCTATAGATGTTTCGAGCCTTTCCACACGCCCGCACGGCTTCCCGACCACATCTCTCGAACTAACAACGCCTCAGCACGATAGAGCAACTACACTCACGCAGTAAAACAGCACACGCGCGGGGTTGAAGGGGAACAAACGTTCCCGAGCACCCCAGTTGGGAAGAGAGAACTTCGTTCTCTCTTCCTTCAAACTAAACCCCTGCCACGTTTATTTATTTATTTATAGATCATTTTCCAGACGGTTCTGCTATGATTAATGTCTGGCGAAAAGCTTCAGCAGATATTTCTTTTGCAACATTTCAACCAACAATTGGTTCAGTTATTAACGCTATTTTCAAGTTTTGAACAACTCGACTTTCAAGATTTACGTATCCACGTGAGCCGATGTTTCCGTTTATCAACGTTATATTTTAAGATCTGTGCAAGAACTCAGCTAACAGATGTTTCCGTATATAAAAGCTAGCTTCAAGTTCTGTTATTGTAAGTCAAGAGGGATGCTGTACATTTGTGTTTGTGTAAGTAAGTCAAGTCATGAGGGATGTTGTACGTTTCTGTTTGTGTAAGTTAGTCAAATCATGAGGGATGTTGTACAATTCTGTTAGTGTAAGTACGTCAATTTATGAGGGATGCTGTACATTTCTGTTTGTGTAAGTAAGTCAAGTCATGAGAGATGTTTTACAGTTCTGTTTGTGTAAGTAAGTAAAATCATGAGGGATGTTGTACAATTCTGTTAGTGTAAATACGTCAAGTCATGAGGGATGTTGTACATTTCTGTTAGTGTAAGTAAGTCAAGTCATGAGGGATGTTGTACAATTCTGTTAGTGTAAGTCAAGTCTTGTGAAATGTGGTACCATTCTGTTAAGAAGACAAAGTGTTTATATATTTTTATTTTCATCACCAGCTGCTTGATGTGCCTCCTATTCAGATTAGAAATCTATATCTCATAATTATTGTACAATGTTAAGAACTTAATGTGTGCATGTAAATAATGTTGTAGAAGTTGTTATAATTGGAAATTATGTTGTACTATATCATCAGTGTCGTGTCAAAACTGCTACAAGTCTGTTTTTCATTATTTGTGTTTTACATAGTAATGTTCCCACAAAATGTCAATGTTATAATGTTGTATAAGTTGTTATATTTGGAAATTATGTTGTACTATATCATCAGTGTCGTGTGAAAACTGCTACAAGTCTGTTTTTCATTATTTGTGTTTTACATAGTAATGTTCCCACAAAATGTCAATGTTATAATGTTGTATAAGTTGTTATATTTGGAAATTATGTTGTACTATATCATCAGTGTCGTGTCAAAACTGCTACAAGTCTGTTTTTCATTATTTGTGTTTTACATAGTAATGTTCCCACAAAATGTCATTCCACATCTGTTTTCCATCATTGGATAAGAACCTAACATTGTAGTTTCGAAACCATTTATCGGAATTTTGAAAGTTGGGCTTTTGGACATACATGGCTTTTACGTGACAGCAATAACATATATATTTGTGTATGTATTTATTTTCCTGTTAAATAAGTTTATCGGTAGATCTTTGATAGACAAGTGGAATCAGATTCATATTAAGAAAATCATTTGGTACATTCATGCATAAAGAAATTTCACAGATAAAAACAGTCATTTACTTGATTTACTCGAATTTAGAGTAGACTTTGTTTTATCTTAGTCATGTTATTGTTTTGACTGCATGTTTATAGGTATTTTAACTTAATGAGTTTATTTAACAAGACTATTTGTGTAAATCATAGAATTACTTATTGGAGTCTATATAGATCCCATTGGCTTTTTAAACACATTTTTCTAAACTATCGTTTGTGAGTCCATGACTTTATTGGTTACAGGGTGTGTAATAACATGAAAGTCACACACAAAAGAACATAGATAAAAAGTACCTTTAATAATGTTATCAGTCCTCTAAACTACTTTCAGGTGACTCCTAAGTAGTTTACATAAAAAATGTGAAATTTTGCCCAGTTGTTTTGATCAATTCCTCATACTGCATTTTATAACTCTGTAAAGTGTGATATACTCTGAATTATTTCCCAAGATTTGTTCATGTTTTTGTTTCATAATAAATTTCTTAATTTCACCAACTTCAAAAACTTAAATTTAAGAAACATTATAGTTCAACAGGAAAGCTATTCAATATTTTTTTAACCACAGTGTTAAAAAGTAGTTGAATTAGTGGTTAGATTGCTTTTCATATACCAAAGTTACTAAAAGTGGTTGAATTAGAACACAAAATATTAGTTAAAATGACGTTTATATTTAAGACTATTTTCATTATTTATCTAACTGAAGAGCTGTTGTATTGAGTGTAAGTCAACTTTGGTAACAAGAAACAACAAACAAGTAGTGTTTGAAATACCATTATATGTTTCTCTTACTAGAAATCTATAGTATGTTAGTAAAGACTGATGGGATAAAATTAGTATCTGTATTTATTTAACTTTTATTAGAGCTGTAATCATGAAAAAAAATCCTTTTGCACACTATACTCCTTCCAATTATTATGTATTTCCTTCTTTCTGTAGCTTGTGATTGTGATCCTCGTGGTTCCCTAGATGAAGGTATTTGTGACTCTCATACTGATCCTGCCGTGGGATTAAAAGCAGGATCATGTCACTGTAAGCGAAATGTAGGTGGTGTTCGATGCGATCAGTGTAAAAATGGCTACTGGAATTTTATCTCTGACAATCCAGATGGGTGTGAACGTAAATAGAAATGTTTCTGTTAATTATTTTTCAGTATTCCATAAGTAGAAATGTTATTGTTAGCTAATGTTCAGTTATCTATAAGCAGAAATGTTGCTGTTATTTAATTTTCAGTTATCCATAAATAGAAACGTTTTTGTTAGCTAATGTTCAGTTATCTATAAGCAGAAATGTTGCTGTTATTTAATTTTCAGTTATCCATAAATAGAAACGTTTTTGTTAGCTAATGTTCAGTTGTTCATAAGTAGAAACGTTTTATTAACTAATGTTCAGTTTTCATAAGTAGAAACGTTTTTGTTAACTAATGTTCAGTTATCCATAAGTAGAAACGTTTTTGTTAACTAATGTTCAGTTGTCCATAAGTAGAAACGTTTTTGTTAACTAATGTTCAGTTATCCATAAATTGAAACGTTGCTGTTATTTAATTTTCAGTTATCCATAAGTGGAAACGTTGCTGTTAAATAATGTTCAGTTTTCTATAAATAGAAATGTTTCTGTTTGCTAATGTTCAGTTGTCCATAAGTAGAAACGTTGCTGTTAACTAATGTTCAGTTATCCATAAGAAGAAATGTTACTGTTATCTAATTTTGAGTTATCCAGAAACGTTTCTGTTTGTTATTTTTCAGTTATCCATAAGTAGAAATGTTTTAGACTGAAGCAACAAATGTCATTCATTTTGGAAATTTAAACAAAATTATTAATAAGAAATAGAAAGTGTATTGTGTTTCATTGAAATAACATTAAAAAATTATCTGTGGAAATTAATGTAAATTCTGTTCTTTAGCATGCACTTGTAACACCTTTGGTACAATTGGCAATCATGGCTGTAATGTTTTTACTGGAGAGTGTACTTGCAAGAGAAATGTGGTAGGAAGAGACTGCAACCAGTGTTTAGTAAGTGTTCCTTGTTTGATAATATATTACTCTGTAGCAGTAATTACAGCAGCAAGTTGAGTTATATGTTCAGTCCAAAGGTCAAGGTGTCCCTTGGCCAAAACTAACTTTTTAACTGCTGTTAACACAAATATGTTCCCATTTAAATGATTAGTGCTATATGAGTTTGACATTTTGCACAACTATGAAAATCTTTCGAACTTCTTTATAGTCACCATTTTCATGTTTCATATAAATGATGAAATATTAAAACATGCCATTTTGTTTTTTATTTGAACCTAGAAATAAACCTGAATACTTGTTTATCCATATGTATGGCAGTGGAAGATCTAAATGAAAGGTCACGATATTTTGTTCATTACAACATGAGGGTTCATTTAGATATATAAATTAGGGTTAAATATAACCATCAGTGTTGTTTTGTGAAAAAATAAATAACACGTGTAATGTTTTTTATGCTTATTGACAAACATCACCTTCAATATTGTGCAAAAAAACAAAACAAAATATTTCTGATATGATATCTAACCCTCTGTCACCAAAAGCTTTCTCGATTAGTACTGCCCTTTATTGGTGCAAATGTTGCGCTCCCCACTAGCCTTGTAACCCCCTTCTTTCTGCATATATACATGCAAATGATCATGCAGCAACCCTCCACCAATAGGAGTGCGACACTACCCCTATCATAACAAGTGCCCTCTCTAATAATGCACATGTTAATCATTTCATGACTGGCAGTGTTACTGTACAGACGTTTTTATTTCCAATAGGTACTTATCTCCTCTCACATAAATAGCTATTCTCGTTCAGTGCTGCCCTCTATATGGAATTTTTTTCGCATGCCACAAGCCTCAAGCTCCCACGTACCCTAAGATCAATGTGGTTCAACTGCTTTTCACATGCAAATCATCATGCGACAACCCTCCACCAATAGGATTGGGACACACTCCCCTGAAACATGTGACTTCATCTATTCGATTCTACCCAACTATCACTTATTGTCTGGTAGTGCTATAATCAAGATGTTTTTTTTTTGGTGTGCACTCTTCCCGTTTTTCTATTTTTCGAAAATTCATACAAAGTGGAGATATTTTCTATTTTTTCACCAAAGCTTATGTTTCCACTTTGTAAATGTTATCATTTACTTCCAGCACAACAACCTAGGCTTCAGGTGGTAGTACTCGACTGAGGAATTTGTCAACTATAATATTGGATATTGATCATTATATGAGTTGACCTTTGTCAGACCTCGAGTTTGGTGACCCACACATTTGGGTCTTCCAACTTTGGACAGACATGTTGTTATACTGTTCTGGCTTTTTGAATATATTGATATTAATATTATTAATTGTAGTTATTTGTTTTCAATAATATACATTTAGTTAGATTTGTACCTACTTTGTGTAAGGTTAGGGTTTTTAATTAATTTTTAGTGATATATTTTTGTACTACAACATTAGTTTAGGCTTAACATGTGTCTTTGTAATTTTAGGCTTACCTGTCATTCATCTTACTGGTAAGTTATAAATTTGGTTAAATGTATAGTTTCTTCAACAAATTCCATCTACTAAATTTTTGAATGTCAATATACACTTACTTAATTTAACAATATAAGGATT